ATAAGTGCTGGGAAATGTAAGTCAGTTGAGGAAGTTCTGCAAAATGTGTCAGAAGACAATTTCCTGATTTAAAAAAAAAAACACAACACGTGAAAAAGCAACAGGGTGGATAGTTACATTTCTAATGACTAACAAGGAAGAAATCACCATGAACTCGAGACTTTGGGGCTACTTGGATTAGGCGGTTTAAGGGAACTTACACAGGTTTACGTTCAAGTTACAAAAGTTTGGAGGAAGCAGACTACTCATCAAATGGCCCGAGACATGGAAGTGAGATGGATGCAAAACATTTCAGTTTTCTACGCATCTCAAACAGAATTATTACACATTCTCCAGCAAATCAGAATTACTGTCCCAGCCCCCAAAGCGAAATCAGTGCCAGAATCATGTTGTTCAGCAACCAAGTTGGGACTGTCTGTAACTCATTCCCAAATCCTCAGTCTCACTCAGGAGCATTTTCTCCAGTGATAAGGCTCCATCAGGAAACACAGCTGGATGGAGGAAGGAAATTCTGAGAAGCAAAAAAAATAGTGGGGGTTCCAGGAAGTTCAACCAGATAGGAACTAATGGAATTTGTTTTTCTGTCTCCCCAGCTCCCAGTGTTCCTAAAGCAAGTGAGAAAATCAGAGGGAAAGTGGGGGGCAAAAAAAAAAAAGTCTGGCAGATCTTACCCTGCAAAACAGGTCCTCACTGGAGGTCTCCAGAGAGCATCATAATTACAATTCAATATTTTCGATCACTTACTGTCCCTGGGAAAAACTGCAGCCGTTTTCAATTTAGGTCCACTCTGAAGCCCAGCCATTGTTTTCTTCCCCCCGTTTTTTTGACTTGTATTTTTTTTTTTTAAACAAAGGTCCTTGTGTAGTTTGCTAAGGAGGTTTTAGTTGGACACATGATTTATCAAAAATAATTTTTCAAAAGTATTATGTTTAACATTCAGGAGAAATAAAGTCTGCAAGTGCCTATGATTAATAACACACAGCCCAGAACCATCAAAACAAAGCTTCAACTAGTATCTCGGTCTTATTACTTCTAGAGAAACCCCTTTCGACCCTCAGGGGCGAACAGCGTTTCCTTCCATATCCTTTGCAATTCCACTCTTTTGCAATCTTTACAATCCTCTAGCCAACTCTGTCTTCCTTTGATAAGGTAGATAATCCCAATTTCAACATCCCCACTGACTGCAGCAGTGTCAGTGTGAAAGAAGAGAAAATCCCCATTCGCCAGACCAGTCCTAGGCTAGCGAGACAGTTAAAAAGCCAGTCTGAGATCAGCTCTACAGTTAAGGCAGCTCAGATTAAGCTAGCACAAAACATCTTCTGCCAAAGACTACTCCACAGGTCAAGATCATAAAATTATTTCTAATTGGAACAATGTCTCTGTGACATATCTGATTTATTGAGACACCATTTATCGCAGCAGCGGAGACACATTTTTGACAAATACTTCAGAAGAGCTGGGATTATCTTGCTGGTCCAGAGACCATGTCACTTAGCCTTGAGCCCTTCCACTGGTTTCCATTTGACCATAAGCACAGATGGAGTTCCCTGACTTTTGTTCCCCCCCCACTTCTCCTAAGCTTTAAGAGCAGCTTGGTACAACACCAACCAACCAGCCAGCCAGAGTACTGCAGCACTGATGACCATCAATGTAATACTGCTGCCAGGATCTACTGCACGTTAGGCCATTTATAGACATAAAAAAAGCTCAAAGACACTGGGTAAACATCTTTTAGGAGTAAGAGAAGCTCTGTAACTCACTCAGACAAAAAACGTGGCCATAATGCCACCAATGGCCTCCATCCATAAATCTTCCCATAACTTTCACGGTGTCTCTGATGCCTTCAGAACTCTAATGATCACCCAACTGAGTCCATTTACAGTATAAGCATTTTGTTATTCCCAAATATTCCCATCTTTAAGTCATCTGTTTCCATCCATCTGCTGAATTTTGTCACAGGCTTAAATTGGAGGCTTTAAGGGAGGGAGATAGTTAAGTTGGATTAGGTCCTGAGCACTTGCCGTAGCTGATCGTGCTTTGAGCAGGGCAGTTGATCTGGAGACTTCCAGAGGTCTCCTCCAACCTCAATAACTCTGTGATTCTATGAAAAGCAGTTCCTGCATCTTCCCATGAAGTTATACCCAAGATGGTTCTGATCTTGGACTGATGAAACAACTAGAAATACAGGAAACAGAATTATGCCCAATATCTTTGTCAAAAGATGACAACTCCACTGCAAGCTGTGGACGGGTTAGTCAGTCCAAATCAAATTTTTACTGAATTCTTCTCAAACTGTACCTCTGAAAAAAGAGGAGGAATCTAACTTCTCAGAAAAAGCTTCAAAGATAGGACTTCAAGCTACAGGATCAATACATTACAGGTACTTCCTTGTATCATCTCAGTTGCTACTACAGCTGGGAACCTGCAAACAGATTGGGAACCTGTAAATACAGAAGCTGTCCTCATCTACTTTGAGCAGTGACAACATACAACTGTTCCTAACAGTTAAAAGGGACTGCAGCCTACCACAGCCTGAAGGCATACCCCAGGGCTCTGATGGACACCAGGACTCTTCCTACCTTATCTCTGCACAGGAACAGATACGAAGAACTCACTTCCAGAAGAATGCCAGCACTTTCCTGCTCCTGCAGTTTGCTCTCTGCCACATCAGGGAAATGCCCAGAGCCTGGGGATTTCAAAACAGAATGCAAACACACCCAGAGAACAGTACTGCCAATCCTCCCAGGGCAGTTCCATTTATGCCACCTTAAGGACCAGGCTCTGGAACGTGATGGAAAGGGAGCATGAGAGTTCGTGGGTGCAATGAAATGAAATTGCTCAGAGCTGAAGGGCCTGAGCAATGCATTTTGTTCTGTGCAAACTCCACAGATCTGTGATCCATGAAAAGGAGGTGAGGGGGGAGAAAAAAAAAAATACAATTGTGCTGCCTCTGGCTTTCTCTCCTTGTGGCTGCTCAGCAGCAGACGGTAGCCAGAAGACGACAATGCAGCTCCAAATTACATTACCTCCTGCCTGTATCTGCATGTGGAAATCTGGGTGCTTAACAGGGAACAGTCTGTGACTTTTTGCCAGAACCTTGAACCACTAGCTTAGTGTTCAGTGAGGGGGAAAAAGGAAATCTGCGCAGTAGCCATCAGCCAACCATCGCATTTGTCAAGAAATTAGCAAAAGCATGCACAAACAAACATACCCTTCACACAACCAGCCATAAATGTGCACAGTCTGCAGCGTCCATCAACAAAAGAACAAATGCTCTGCAGGATTACGTCCCAGAAGAAGCAATAGCACTTTCCAAACTTATATTTAGCTTCAAAAGATGTGGGACATGCAGAGAAAATATGACCAAATATTTGGGACAACTCACAGGTGGGCAAAATCTACTCCCTTAACCACAGCACTGTTGATTTATCCCAGTTTATCTTGGTTCATATTGATCTGACAGAAAGGGAGCTAAGAAGTAGATCCACGGCATATTTAGGCGATCAGAAGTGTTAACCAAAGAGGCTCTGACCTCTCAACAGCTCTCATGGAAGTGAAGTCCCCAAATGCTTATTTCAAGACAGTAGTAAGTTCAGAAGGGTTCTGTTGTGGCTGATGGCCTCGTCCCAAGCTCTTACCTTTCCAGCCAAACCATGTGACTCATAACAAAGGTTCATACTGTTTTTCACAGTGGCAGACAAGACAGGACAGTTCTTAATTTGTTTAAATTCCTTCTAACCTCCCGGTTTAATTAACTGTAAAACTGTATTTTTGTAGGTTAGAGAAAAGTACTCAAGACAACAGACTTGACATTTTTCCCTGTCCTACCAACAACTCTAAACCAGACAGCAGATTCACCGAAACTACAATACCGTATGACATAACGGCAAGACCAAATCCTTCAAACTGTCCAATTCAACACACCCCACTGAAGTATTCTTTATTTTATAGCAAGAGGTTTTTTTGCCAGTGGAGAATCCCCAGTGGAATCCCCATTTGTTCTTCACCAGCTCCCTTGTCATTCCGCCTAGGACTTTCACAGCTACAAACCTTTTACTACTGTCACTACTACCCAGGATCTCTTAGCACATTCTTCCCTCTATTCCCCTCCTCCCAAAGTTCACAGTGGCCTACAGTGAAGTTACAGAACAATTTTCAAAAGTATTGCACAACGAGCAAGGTGTCAAACACATACGGAGTATTTCAGACATTTCCATTCAATTTCAGGCCCAATCTTTCCCTCTAGACAAGAGACTTCAGAGACCACGAAATCGACAGGGCAATTCTTGCAACACAGTCACTTGTGCTTTTCCAGATGTTATTTTTTCCAAAGAATTTTTCTGGATACATGAGTCAAGTCTGTTATTTTATATACTGATATAGCAGGTGCAAAATGCCAATGAATACATAAATAAAACAAATCCTAGTACAAACCTCGATCTCCTTACACGAAGATGGAGAAAAGTCTTCTCATTAAATATTTACCAGTATTCAAGCCATCTTTGAATCCTTTGCTCAAAGATAGGCAAGTCTTTGCAGGTGCTCAGCCTTTCCCAATTCTTGTCAAAATAAGGGCAGTTTGAAATTGAAAATTCAAAATTGAATTGAAAAACTGAAAATTGAAATTGGCCAGTTGCTACTCAATGTCAAATTTTATTTTGGATATTTATAGATATTTCAGATCAAGCAAAAATGTATCTACTTTGCGATGTATATTGCCTAACAAGTGTAAACTTAGGATACTGAAGTTTACTACATCCAAAGAAGTTACATCACAATTAATTCACCAAAAAATGTATTAAATTCACTCTTTTTTCCTAATGGTTCAGAACACAGCCCTCCACCTGCAGCCTTCACACAGGAACAACAGTAATTTCACAGGCAGAAGACTCCCTGCTTTTGATGGGCATGCAGTAACCTCATCAGCAGAAACAGGTTTAAATTTGGTTTTGTTAAAAGGGATAATAAACAGGGAAACAAAGGTGAAGCCTCTTGGTTACCTGTGTCTTCATACTCTTCTGTCGCTTCCCAAATATGCAGGACAGGTCATCTTCACTGCGCGAAGAGAGATCTTTACCTGGAAGAGGTAAGGGAAGGAAAAATAAAAACCCACAACTTGCACATCTGGTGATGAAAGGTACATTTCAATAACACAAACTGTGACCCACGGAGTTAGAGAAATTGTTTTTGGAGGTGAACAAAAATCAGGAGAATGTTAAAACCGCTATATGAAGGCTGACCATGACTCCCACATACAGTAGGAAATGTGTGTATAGGGGGAAAGGCTGGCGAGGAGACAACCACAGCCTGCTGGTGCATGCCCACAGGGAAATACAGAACAGCAGCTTGTTTTCCCCCACCTGACGCTGCAATTGTCACAACAAGATGAGGGAAAGTGGGCTGCACTATGCTGAAGGGAAAGAAGAGTTGTAACCTCCTACACACAAGAAAAAGTCAAGGAGAAACTGCACAACTTCAGATTCTCATGAGAATTCCCCATCTCTGACAGAGTTAGGGAGTTGTAGCTCCTCCATACGCAAAAAAAAAAAAAAAAAAAAGAAAATCCATCTTTACTCAGTGGGGACTTTTCTTTGATTCATTAAATTCCTTCTGAAAAGCAAAACCTCCATCTCTGCAACACACTGGATTACTCCAACTTAAAACAATTTCAAGGGTGAAGCAAAGATTTCCCTGAATTCCAGTAGGACCACTATTCCCACGTGGCTGTTGTGTGGCTAGCTGAATATTGGACACAGAGAAGGCAGGGGGAAGAAAAGGGGTGTGGTGACATTCTGGGATACCAGCAAATGTTTAGCTGATTCCACAGTGCAGAAGCATTAATACTGAGTTGTTCACAGCTTGTTTCAGAAAATTCTTTTTAAAAAAGTCAACACAAGTTAAAGAAACAAAATTAGCCCAGACAGGTCAACTTATTTAGGAGTCTGATGGGGTCTTATTCCACTTGATTATCTGATTGCAAAATCACTGACCTCAAAAGGAAGCTAAACCCTTGTAACGGACAAAAAATTTTTTGCATTCTCTAATAGAAAACCAACTCAGCTGACAGTCCAGATCTTTTGCAGCACCACAATGGAACACCTAATAGAAAAGCAATGGAAAACACTGTGTTAATCTCACATTGGTGTGCTGCTAAGGCTATGTGTGGTGCCTACGTTCCTCCAGCAGCAAGGCTACAAAATAGCACCAGAAACGGAAGCTGAGTTTTCTATCGTTGCTGCTCCCTTCTCCCGCTTTTGTGTGAGCTCGTCTTGTTTAGTCTAAAAGGAAGCAGGATTTGAACAACAAGGGCCATAACAACATTAGCTTTTCTCAAATAACTTTTCCTCTTTCTCTGAAAAAGGACAATTTCCCTGTTTTAGAACCACCGAGGGTACAATCAAACAGGGGCCTGCCTTATAGAAACACTGCAGCCAAACAAACAAGCGATATTGTTAATATGAAAGTCTTGCTCCATATTTTACACGCTCAAAAGACGCTTCTTTTCTCTATATTTAGTAAAAGGTTAAATCCAAATCAAAATAAATCCTCTTTGCTACTGCCTCAAACAGGCCACGGCCTCTGTACTTGCAAGCCCTGAACCAATTTAATTGTCTAATGTCGTAATGTGGCAGGGTCACATTAACAAGTTTGACTTCTAGGACAAATTATTTTATCAAAAATCCCCAACCCCAATATCACAATTCGGCCTCCATTCAGATGTCTATTACCTGTTTTAGCAGAGGCATAGCTCATCAGAAAACAGAGCAACAGTCAAGAGCCAAAGCCAGGGAGGGCTGAAATAATGTCATCACTCTCAGAAAGCAAGAAATAACTCAAGTCCATGAGTTCTTGATATCATTTTTTGTGGCCACCAACCGCTGTCCTAATTTATCTAATAAAGCATCTGATAGATGTAAGAGGGCTTTCCTCTTCCTGCATTCAGGTTTAATCTGATCACTGATCCACCTGATCTCTGAGCAGGGGTTATCGGAGATTGCAGAGGATAGTGCGGTGCAGATGCCCAAGTTATCACCTTTGCCTCCCCCTCCCATCCCCTGCCCACACACAGATCATTCAGAATATTCACTGTTCCTTTATTCAGCTGAGGGTTCATTCCAAAACTGTTTTATTCAACAATATCAGCCTGAAGCCATGCAAAATTGTCCAAAATAAAGAGAAGCAGCATATTACAGCTTTAGGTAAGTTGCTGCAGGGGTATTTCAAAACCAAGATTTTACTTGCCAAATTTAGACCCCAGAAGGCAACAGATCACCTTGACACGTGTTTTTTTTTTTTTCTAATCTTGGCTAGAGCTTATGAAACAACAAAACTCCTCTTACCTTTTGCAAACTTCATGTAATGGACACGTTTCTTGGAAGATTTGGATTTTTCTTCAAGACTGAATGTCGTCTTCTGATTATTTACTGAGGACTCTAAAAAAAAGTTCCAGCCCTATTAGAGGCACTCTAACCACCAAAGCCAAACATCAGTGTATTTCACTTTCTCTCTCAAAACCAAGTCTCAACAACTTAGCACAATAAATTACTGAAGGAAGGTAAGTTTTGCCTGAGACATGTTTATGCTTGATTTTTTTTTGCCCCATCCCCTTCCCATTTCCATTCTAACATAATCTGAAAAGGCAGATACAGGTACTCCAGGTCAAAGGCAAAGTCTAATTTAACACCATTTCTACAGCAAGAAAAAAAGAATAGGTCAGGCTTTATTGTGCTGTTTGTTACAACATATCTCCAGTGCCAGAGTCTGAGAACGATGTAAGAAGTAGTACAAAATAAAATTCTCAATCTAACTGAGTAGAAAGAAAAAGGGAAAAAAAAAATATCGCACAGACAGGCTTTCCACTTCTAACACCAGCCAAAGTGCCTCTATGTGGACATAGTCTGATACATCCAAGTAAGGAAATTAAACGGTGGCAGAGCTTTTCTGTCCCTGAGGCCAGCTAGAACAAATTGCCACATCCATATTATTTAATTTTCCTAGCTTCCAGAAGAGGGGCTGCATCTCAACTGTCCACTGGGAATGGTCTCTGGGGTTGGCTACATCCCAAATTCACTCAGGAGTTGCAAGTCTGTGCAGGTCTAAACCATGTGAAGGATTAGTCTAACTATTTAACAGCAGAGATAACAAGTTCCTGAGCTGTGGCGGGTTATTTTACTGGTACAGATGCACTCTTCGCATCCACAGAGCTTGTTAATTTACAATAAATTCTCAGAAGGAGGTAACCTGCTATCTGGTTAAAAACTACTTTACTAGTCCTGTCCTGAAAAGAAACAGGCACCACAGGATTCTCTAGAAAAGGTTACTCTGGTGAGGTGGTTTTTCTTCCTCCCAGTGGCAACTGGGATGGGTAGGGAAATCAACCCATACCCTGAGGGCCAAGTTGAGTCACCTTCTTCATCTGATCCCACCCTTGAAAGCTCTGCAGACCAAGCTTTTGACTTTGGCATTACAGCACTGTTTGACAGGTAGTGACACCTGACAAGAGTCATTGACCTAAAAAATGAAACCCTCAGCCTGCAGTGGGAGAGCTGACTACCAGAGAGCAGCCCGGGATCTACTCTGCCTCTCACACACTAAGCCCTAATGAGAAGAGGAAGGAGTAACAAACCCCGTTTTAGACAATGAGTTTGTAGTCAACTTGAAAATTCTCAATGAAAGAGTCTATGGGGAAAGCAAGCATCACACCTAAAATATCCTGACCATCTCCAACCCACTGGTACCAAAGGGAACATTACACAGCAAAGGATTTCCACAGGGTCCTCCTCTGCTTTATTCTTGCAGCGAAAGGAGCAGCAGCACCGCCTTGTGCCTTCAAGGAGGAATTTCACTACAGAAACGTGCTGGCACTTGCAGCGGGCAGGTAGGGACATCCCTGCGTCCTCTAGTGACTGGTAAATCCTCTGACAAACTGAGCAAGCACTGCAGGAATATTAATGTGCTTTTTAAAGCAATTTAGTCATAGCAATAAAGCCACGTGTTATTTCTACAGCAAATCTGATAAAGTTGAATCTTCCAAAGCACATTAAAAACAGGGTCAGCATGTTGTTGTCCTGTTTTATGAACAGGAAAGGGACACAGTCATCATCGCTCAGAACCTCAGCAAAAGAGCCAGGAATCAAAACTCCTCACTAGGTGCTCAGCTAGAAGGAAAAAAAAAAAAAAGAGAAGAAAGGTAAAACTACGTAGATGGAGAATATTTGAATGTTGGCACCACGGGGCCCTTCCTTCCCAATCTCTAATTGCAATCCAACTCTGGCAACTACACCAGTTATTTAAGAACAATGAAGTTTTTCAGCTGACTTTTAATGCAATTTGAAACTGGATGATGGCCAATAATGTAACATTTGATCCTGCAGCACAGCTGCAAGCAGAATTATCTGGATGAGATTTGCCAGCTTAAATGATTGCCAAAAAAATCAGTTTCAGAGCAATGCTTGAAGTTTGCAAATCACCAAACGTGATTCTGATCGAAAATTTTCAGTGTGCACTCAAATTTGTCCTCAGTGATTGAAAATTCTTGTCCCAGTTCCTAAAAATATCAAGGAAAAAGAACTGAGTAAAACAGGGAGAAATATGGTTTTCAGGGGCCAATTTGCATCAGTACAGATGACCCAGGGAATACTGCAGGGATTTAGGAACAAGACAGCCTTGCTCAATGAACCTGCCTCTGTGCTGACTCACTGTGTCCTTGGGCAAGTCATTTCAGCGCTCTGCTCATCAGCTTGCAGGTTTCCCACCAGTTACACCTAACTGATCTCCCCACGGCTCAAGTTGGGACTTGGGGAGGATTTAGTTATAAAGGTAGAAAGGAACTTCTGGAATTTCCCTACGACATGCTATTCTACCTCTTCAAGACTTCTACAGCACCAACCACTGTGTGGCCTCAGACCATGATTAGGGCTCCAATGCACAAGGATAACTTACACAGGAATTAAAAAAAAACTGCTTCAGGTTCAGAATTTTAATCCTACTTCTCTAAGATTAGAAACCAAATTTGGTCCTTCTTGCTAATTGGTTTTCCTCCTCTTTCTACCTCTCCTCTCCTAGAAAACATTCTGTGCTCAAACATTAAGAATGAATGAACAGTTGATAAATTCACTAAGCTGTCAATTCTGCCACTAGCAGCACGTGGACAGGCTGCTGTGGCCAAACAGAAGCCCTTGGTTTAACAACACTCCACGGAGAATTGTTTAGATATATGATCTGAGTTTAAATTTGAGTCTAACTAAAGAGACGATAAAACCATTTGATGCATACAGTTCCTTCTGTAAGCTCACACCCACCAGTTCTGCATAACTTCATTTTTACAAACCAAGGTCAAACTGCACAAGCTTAAAAATGAAGCTATAAAAAATTAAAGACTTTATAAATAGCCCTTTTGGGAAAGTTGTGGTTTCCCCACTTGTGTGCTCTACATCAGGGCTAAAAAAAGTCACATTATACCACACTCAAAACAGAGATGCATAACTCTGAGTCAAAAGCTAAGCAGGAGCTCTCTGAGGAGAGGAAAAGTGGGTATTTAAGAAACCACCAGAGCACGGAACCAGGTTCTGGCTGCTTTATAAAGAAACAAGCACTGCTGTAGTACATCCCAGCAAAAGGTCCCCCATGCTGTGCTCCTGGATAAAATAAACACGTTCAAAATTTTACTTTTGCTTTCCCCAGCAAAAAGCCTTTAATAGGGGCTTGAGGGCAAACCCAATAGACCGGGATCTCCACACCCAAGCAGAGAAACTTGAGCACAGTCATGGATGGCAACATGTCCTTTGGCTCCTACTGATTTCGTGGAGGAAGGGGAAGAACGGGGAGTTGTCACCCTCAGCAAGGAGGCTACCAGCAGCCCAAAGGACTGGGCCTCAGCTAGCCTTTTATGATAAAGAATGGAAACTCAGCTAAGCTTCCAGCATCTGACTGAGCACAGCATGAACCTACCTGTTTCACCCTGTCCATGGCAATCATTCAGTTCAGCCAGAAGCTGGTTGAAGTCATCCTGATGAGCAATCCAGTTGTCCTGTAAATAGCACCCACATGAATACAAGGCCAAAGTTTTCAAAACTAAAAGAAGTTTTGACAAAAAAGATAGTAAGACTCTGCACTCTAAGAAGTAACTTAATTGTATGCACTCAATCCTCCTTGGTGGGAGGGACCCTCAGAAGCTCCACAGGTGGCAACACTTAAGGACAGCTCACTACAGTCACTCCAAAGTGCAGAAGTGATAAGGGTTGTGTTTTTAAGTCCTTTAACGATAGCGAGCTGCTGTTGGCTCTGTGTGTTTCCATCTGCACAAGATGTTTTCAACCGTCGGCAGGAAATAGTGTTATTTTTTCCAGCAACAAGGTTATTTAGGATGTTGATTGAGACCAGCACCTTTAGGATCACGTTCTGCTCTGCCTCCGTGCCTGAATTCCAATCAGAAAGGTGACTATCAGGAACAGACACAGAAGGTGGAAAGGTAAGCAGGGCAGATGACACAAGGAGAAAGCAAGTATTCCAGTGATTTGCTCGGAAGCAAAAAAAGCCTCTGAACAGCCTGCTCTCAAATTTCACTGTAACCTTTCCAAGCAGGTACTTACTGATAAAACACCCAACAAAGCACAACTAAACTCCAGTTTCTGCAGAGACATTTGCATAGGCACATGCTGCCACCAGATGTAACAACAGATTTCAGGAATGTCCCATCGCAAAGATTGTGCTTTAGCTGAGACGAGAGCCATTTCCTTACGTGGGTCTGGTGCTCACCTCGTAATTGATGGTTGCTCCTAACCCCAGCGTGTTGTTTTTCACCTGAACCTTGATATGCTCTGTATTTCCTTGTTCCTGAGCCCCAAGACCCTAGAGGGGATTTAAGAGTAAAAATGTAAGAATTTTACAGGAGTGACTAAAGCACTAGAGCTGTAAGACAGTTTGCAATGAAATACAGCAAGAAACCACAACTTACTATTTATTTGCTTGCCTGGAACAGAATTCATTCACAGGCATTAGCACACATGAGATATTAAGCTTTTTTTAATTTACTACTTAAGCCTCCAGCAAAGTATTATAACCACTAAAATAGCAACAACATTAAGTAGTTGGGTGATTAATCAGGAAGCCACCTGACATACCCAGGCAAGTCCAAAGTGTTTATGATTTTAAAACAAGACACTACATAAAAAGAACATGCCTCTCACCAAAAATACCTCTGTCACTGGGAAGGCAGCTACGTGACGGCTATAAGACAGATCCCACATAGAATGTACAAGACAGAATGAAATTTTAGGGGAGGGAAGCACGGAGGGAGGATCAAACAGGAGCTAGCAGGACATCAGGAACTTATTCCATCTCATTCCCACTCATAATTTATGTTGGGTTTGTCCACCCTAAAAACCGTACTCACTCAAATCTGGGAAGCAATCTTTAGGCCCAGCATTATCTTTCGTAATTGTATCAGGGGAAAAAAAATAAAAAATAAAATAAAGACAAAGCATTTAATTTAAAATTTTATTCCTGGTATCTACCTGCTTTTTTTCCCTGATCTACCACAAGTAACAAATCACCAGCTAAGTGTACGGATATAACAAATGTGTGTGTGGTGGAATCGTGGAGAGAAGCCCTGCAGATATTCCCGGGCACATCCAGTGTTTGAAGCAACGAGGCTCATTTGACAAAGGCTTGTTGCTATTGCAAATCCAGTAGAGTTTATTTGGTCAGTGGGGTAGAAAATTTACCTTGCAACTTCTGCTAACCAGAAAGTATGGAAGCAAGCAGGACACTTGGGTACACATCCTGCCGTGACCCAATTCCGATACAACTAATAACAGGACTAGCATAAGCAGCTTAATTTCACTGCACAGATGGGCTTTTGGCCATTAATTTGCTCAAGCTAAGGTTCCATTTGTCCGTGTTTGTGGTGGAATGGAGACGTAAATCCTTCTCCTACAGCTGTAAAGGAAGATCTTGTAACTCAAGTAGGAAATTTACAGTTGGGAAGAAGATGGGGGGGGGTGTGGGATGACAGACAGAAAACAATCAGAACATTTTCCGGCTTTTTTTTCCTGCTCTGGTTTACGTATCAATTTTCATCTTAGACACCTATGCATACAATTTACATAAAAATACAGTACTCAGGCTCCATACTTTTACCAGCCTGGTGGAACCAATGCCAGTTCCTTGACTTCAGCAGCCTTTGAGTCAGGTACCACGGCTTGTTCGTGAAATCAGAGGCAGTTAGAAGCCAACTGTAAACCAACTGAGGCAAGAGCAGGCTACACTGAGAAATCCAAGAGCAGGCTTATTTTTCTAAGTTTTAATGCATTCACAGAATTGAGAATTATTCTAATTTTATTCCTTTTTAAAAAAAAAGGGCTGGGAGACAAAATCTAGGAGAAGAATTAAATAAATATTGTGGGGGGTTTGCGTGCATCCATTTCATTAAATTTGCTGACATGACAGCCCAAATCTCAGCTTTGCTGAGGCACCTTTGTGGAAGTTAAACTGCTTTTAAGGGGCAGCTGAGATGTCTGCAGCTCTCTGCACTGACCTAGAGATTATTCTTAAAGCCAGAAACAAGTCACCTCACCCCACAGGTACGGGCTGGAAGGGAATACAGCTCACAGAACACCACATTTTGGCCATTCAAGGAAAAGATCAGAAGTAACCTTAAAAAACAGGTAAATTATTAAAGCAGGTCCTGGAGTTGGAAGCGACTAGCAAGCAAGTACCTTTGTAACAAACTAAAAATCTCACATTGCTCAAATTCTCTGCATGCAAGAGAATAAATCAAATAAAACATGGCTGTTGTCCCCTGGTAGCCTTTGACCCTTCACTAGCCAACTCTCCTTTGGACCATACCTTTCCTTTGGACCAGCCCATCTTCTCCAGCATCTTCTGGCCAAATTTAGATTCATCTTTACTCCAAGCGTTATTTCGTGGATCCACAGACCACTTCTGCCTTCTACGGGCTAGAGCAGGAAGGAAAAATTTCAATATGCTCTATTTACATTTTCACAGTATTCTTAGCATTTTATCTATTCAAGAAAAGCTCTTTATTACAAAAAAAATACCAGAACCTATGCCAGATCAAACACGTTCTGGAGGTTTAATTTTGCTAAAACTTTTATTGCAAAAAAAAGTTTGGTGAAAATTTTAATTATAATGTGAGGAATGCCAAAGTAAAACCGCTATGGAAGTCGTCATCCCCAATTCAGGGAAGGCTTTAAGGATTACTATTTAGGTGCACAGGTCTAAATTTCATATTTATTCCAACTTTGTTTCCATTTGACTTCAACATGAGATCTACAGGGGACAAGACCTCAGTGCTGGCTTTCCTAGTTCTGGACAATATCCACTAACCAGTCTTCCTTTTAACCAGACCATAGAAATTTTAATATTTATCTTCATAACAAAAACCAAGTCAAAAAATCAAACCTAAGTGACCAGAGAAACTGAATTACAGAACACAAACCAGTGGGATTTCAGCTTTTGGATTTACAACAAAATGGTTTATTTGGCAACAGAAAAGTCACCGGAAATTATTGCAGGTGTTAAGAGATCCAAAAGGGAATCAAGGTTCCTTTGTCCTGTGCCGACTACTAAAGAAACTACGGTCCCCCAGGCCCGCGTGCGTGCGCTTGCCTCTATCATCAGGAATAGCTCCACTGAAACCAAGGCAGAGAAGCCAGCAGAGGTAAGCAGTCACTTTAAGTGTGCACTTAGACATATGCAGGAAGACAACCTAAACAAACAAGACAAAGAACGGGAGACAGGAAGATTACAAACTTCATTAAACACGATGGGAAACGGGGGATCAAAAATGACCAATTAACCCAAGGCCATCCAAAGCCAGCAAGAAGCCAAGTCCACCGAGGCGCTTTCAACATAACCATG